TTGCAGCTATGCAATGCAGAAAACGCATATTGACGAGGGGTTGTCTGTGTGTCCGTCTGTCACGGTTTTTCACCTCAAGACGTACAGAAGCTACGGGGCTGAAACTTTTGGGACTTAATCTACACGGACGTACGGGCCCCAATCTCCAAAATGTGCGCCCTAACCCACGTGGTACCCAAGTGCGGGCCGGTGAAAGTTTTTTGCGGGTAAGTCGCTAACTCGAGAACCAGAAAAGCTAGAAAGCTGAAATTTTAAGAGGATATTCCCCGTTCATCTAAGTCTCATTGAGCTGAAATCCGGTCCTTGGGTATGCGTGGTTCTTGCGCACGGGATGCCAAAATTTTTTTCGAGTGAGTCGTTAACTCGAGAATTTGGAAAGCTGGAAAACTGTAATTTTAAGAGGATATTTCCCGTCCATTTAAGTCTCATTGAGTTCGAACCCATGCTCCGGGTATGCGTCGTACTCATGTATGGGCCCGCCAAATTTTTTTCGGGTAAGTTCCTAACTCGGAAAACTGAAAAATCAAAAGGCTGTAATTTTAAGGTAATGTTTCCTGTCCACGGAAGTCTCAATGAGCTCAGACCTAACCCCTAGGTATGCGTGGTAGCCACGTACGGGCCCGTTAAAATTTTTTCTAGCAAGTCGCTAACTCGAAAACCTTAAAAGTTAGAAGACTGTAATTTTGATGGGATGTTCCCCATTCGGGTAGGTATTAATGAGCTCACACCTAGTCGCCGGTTATGAGTCATTCCCGCGTAGGGACCCGTAAAAGATTTTTTCGTGTAAGTTACTAACTCTGGAATTTGAGAAGCAATTGGACTGGAATTTTGAAGGGGTGTTTCCTGACAGTCCTGACGGCCAGCCTGAAATTGTTTTAACTAGAAGCATCTGCCGGAAAAAAACGGTGCCATTAGCAACAAAAATCTTCGGGAACTATGTAAAAAACGCATCTTTACACGGGCAGCTCTGCGTTGGCCAATTATTTTTATCTCGGTCACTTTTCTCTTTATCTCTCTCTGTTTACTCTCTCTTTATCCTATTCTTGTCTTGTAAATTCGCCGTATGTGCATTCAATATATGGCGGATTGGAGGCTGTACTGATGATTCCTGCCCCGACTATGTTTACAGCTAAGTGATGAAACATAGACTGCTTTTTGCATGTTCAGTGACAAAACGACTTGTAATTCCTATGCTTGCTTTCGAATTTTCGCTCATCTGCTGCTTTCCTTCTGCGATAAACAATTGTTCGAATTCCACCTCGTTGATCACAGCATCGTCGAATTGATCGGCTGAATTTCGTCGAGGATTTTACTGGTTTTGCTGGCTTTGCTCGTGTTGTGCTGTTGTTGGCCAGTGTCCAGCGGATGCATTTTCCGCATTTTCATTGTTAGAATTCCTACATATTTAGTCTCTGAACCAATGCATTATTAGAAGAGAAAAGGTTCGTGAAAAGCGGTCATCCACCAAACATGAGGAGAACCATTCTAAAGTTTGAACGACTCCCAGATTAGTGATAAATTATGCTAGAAGCCTTGGCCTGTGCTCTGTTGAATGAAAATATCGAGGAAGGGGAGTTCTTCTAAGAATTTTCGTTAATATTCGCCTTCAAGCTACGCAAATACCATGAGACACATATTGTGGCATCATTGTAATTCAGAAAAGAGGTGATATACGTTTTGCATTGTTAACAGTTCATGCTCCTCACATTTATGTGTTTGGAACCTGAACTTGGATATCGTTCGCTGCAAAGATGGTGCATTTACCTTTTTTTGGGCATAAGGGTACAAATCTCTAAAAGCATCTGTTCACGGACTGTCATATTTTAACGTGAACGATGTTCGACTGTACCTCATTTCTGTGGATGCATCTGAAAAAAACCCGAAGATGGAAGGCTGGCCAAACACCAGCAGATTGCCAACAAAACAATTGCAGAAGGGACTGGCTTTTCGAGTTGCACTTCTTGGTGGCGTAGAAAAATGGCTCCACAACAGCTTTGATTTCAAACTGCATAAAATTTCTGGAATTTCAATTTAGGTGAAAATATTGAAAAAAGCAGCAGCAGCATACAATATTTGCCAGCAGCAGCACCATAACAGTGCATGAAAAATACTACGGTTAAATCGAAACATAAGACTTCTTGCTCTATTGCTAGTTTTCTTCGCTTAACTCTTGTTTTTGTTGCAAAAGAATGGCGCGTAGAGAAAACCCGTGCGATTATGAGCTCTCTACGACAGTGTCAAACATCAGGATTGTGTTGCGGTGAAGCAGTGCAATGGTGGATGCAGTGGAAGCGCTCACAACAAGCGCCATTCTTTTGCAGCAAAAACATGAGGTATACGGAGAAAACTAGTAATGTAACAAGAAGCATTATGTTTTGATGTAAATGTAATATTTTTCATGCCGATATGTTCACTTTATGTCTTACACGGGTTGAAAGTCATAAATTTGGAGTTGCAGTGCGAAACTTCTAGCCGATGAAAGTCTTTAGCAGTTCAGTGGCGGCTTTATGAAGAAAACTTGTCAGTCCAAAAAAATGAATAAATGGGAATTATTGGAAGTTTGTCCAGGCTGCGTTATTAAGACTTTTTTGTTGTTTAGCCGGAGGAGGAGCAGCAGCACATTGTACGTGAGACGTTCCAGTTGGTCTCAAAGCGAGATGACAATGTGTGCAACTTCCTCGAAGGTGGCTCGCTTATCGGTGGATCCGATTACAAACTAATCTATCGTCACTACGCCACTTTGTATTTTGTGTTCTGCGTAGACTCATCGGAAAGTGAGCTCGGAATTCTCGACCTCATACAGGTAATCGGCCGCTCTGTAACTTCTGTGCGCCTTTAGAAAGTAGAACAGAGAAACTGCTTACTCAACCGAATTGAAAGATTAATTCAGTGGTCAGGAGGGGAGTTATATGAAGTAGTGATTGATGGGAAATTGATACAGTCCCTTCTCCCCCTCTCCTTCCGTCCACGTTCCCTCCCCCGCTCTGCCTATCCTTTAAAATCCACCTCCATGCTTTGTGCAGTGATAATTGATAGACAGCGTGGAAGATTTGGTTGCGGTAACTTAAGATGGTAAGCAGCCACTCGGGCAGTCTCTGAACAGATGACGCACATACTTTGAACAAATTGTGGGTGCCCATTAGAAGCATGCAGCTGAAGTCTGAGAAATCTCGCAAAGCTGTGACCGGCGCGAGATCCATCTAGATCGACGAATAAAGTTCTGATGATGTGCCGAATATATTGATGATTGGCTCTACTTAAGAACACTAACAGCTATACTCATCTAGTTGTTTTACTCTGAAGTGAAAGAAGTGCTGTTTTTTGTTTTACAGGTTTTCGTTGAGACATTGGATCGATGCTTCGAAAACGTCTGTGAACTGGATTTAATCTTCCATGCTAATAAGGTTCACTTTCTAACGCTGTATCATTTCTTCACGTTCGTTAACCAGGGAATAGTTTCAAGGGAATCTGCTATGGTTATACCATTCTCTTAACTTTGTTGATGATTAGCGGTTAGGTGTTACTCCATCCTCTTATCACTAAAGCAATCTAATAATAACATGAACGGTAAGTCCTGTATGGTATGAACAGCAGGCTACTGATAACACGGGAATTAGGTTATTGTTGGCACGGGCGGTAAGTTCAAGGAAGCTCGATAGTCTACTGGAACTGAATAAATATTTCATTGCTAATGGTTCTTTATTCAAATCGACAACAGTAGTTGGTGAATTTTTATTTACATTCGAAAAATTCTTGACTTTCAGGCTGATAAATTAAGGTTAAAAATCAGGAATTGTTAATCTCATCCATTTTTGGTTTACCGAGACTATGAAATTAAGGTTTTTTTACCAAAATTCTGCTCCATATCAAAAGCACAAGGACTTTGCTGCACTCGCTTTTCGTATCGGATTCACTTTTCGTGCCGAAAGTAAGAACCATTTGAAGATTAATTCATGACGATTATCACTGGCTTCAGCCTTGGTGATTTATGCTGCCTATAAATTTCTGCACATAAAGGCTTAAATGATTGTGGCCTGCAAATTAGTAAGTCTGAGCCCATGCGTCAGTAGTTTCTGATTCGAGTTTCATTAAATCGCAGTAAAACTTTGTAAAACGGATGTAGTTTAACTGCATTGAACTCCTCTATACTTATCGAGCTTCTTGACGCGGAACAGAAGCTATGCGGTAGAAAATCGCGACAAATTCGCTTGAAAAATACGCCTTTGTTATTAATATATCTTTATTTTTCCCTTACGCGTTTTTGCAGTGCAGTGCTATAGCGCTGCTTCAGCCAGCAAAAACGCATATTGTCGAGAGGCTGTGTGTGTGTTCGGAAGCGAGTGCATTTTGTCAC